AAAGGATCAGAACTTGAGTCTGACGCCTCAGACCACTCGGTCATCCTGACTTGTTTGTTTTAGGCCCTGCTCCTATAAATTTTCACCTCAAAGTGTCACATCGAATCTTGTGGCACACGTATGGAGTATTAAATATAGACGAAAAAAAACTAATTGCACAATTAGGTAAGAAATCGTGAGACGAAACTTTCAAACCTAATTAGTCCATAATTAAACACTAATTGGCAAATACAAACGAAAGTACTATAATAGCAAAAACAAAAAAATTCGCCATCTAAACGCGTCCTTATTTCTTATCAGAATGTTTATTCCCACGATGAGCCATCTGACCGTCCATTCAGAATCTACCGTTCCAACGGTCCTGATCAGACACAAACCCTACTTCTCCTCTATAAAATCCTCCCCGCTCATCTCCCCAGCCAACCCTAATCCCCACCAAAACCCTAAACCCTCGCTCCCCGGCGGCGGCGGCGGCGGCTACAAGCTCTTCGTCGGCTCAGCACCATGAGGCCACCGGCTAGAGGTAACTAACCATAAACCCCCATCCTTGTTTTTCCATGCATTGCCGCAGCCGGCCTAAGACTTATTCCTTCGTTAAATCCTATAGGCGGGCGCGGCGGGAGGGGAGGCAGGTTCGATGGCGGCGGGAGGGGAGGCAGGTTCGATGGCGGCGGCCGTGGGGGCGGCGGTGGCCGGGGGTTTGGCGGTGGTAGAGGCGGTGGTGGTGGCAGGGGCGGGAGAGGTGGCAGGACGCCGAGGGGTGGCCGCGGTGACGGTGGCAGGGGCGGCCGCTTTGGCATGAAAGGAGGGAGCAAGGCCGTCGTGGTTCCGCACAAGCACGCCGGTGTCTTCATCTCCAAGTCCAAGGAGGATGCGCTCTGCACCAAGAACATGGTCCCGGGAGAGTCTGTCTACGCAGAGAAGCGTGTCTCTGTTCAGGTTCGCTACTACTTATTTATGTCCCCTTCCTATTTTCTCCTTTTATTGTTGGATAGATATTGCTTGTGTGTACTACGAATGAGCTAGATATTACTTGTGTGTACTACGAATGAGCTGACCTGTTTTACATAGTCGACTGCTGCGTTTTCAATAATTCTGTATATTGTCAAAGGTCAACTCTTCTGTTTTTGTGTTATTTGTTTCTGTTATCTTGCGACAACATTCTGGGTTTGGAGCTCTGTAAATGATGATCTTACTCGGATTCCCCTTCAGGACATCTAAATGGATGATGCAAATTCGAGTTTCTGATGCCCTCATGCCCAAATGATATGTAGATTGTTTAGTTTCCCTTTCCATTTCTAGGATAAATTACTGGTCTGAATAATTGTAATGCCGTAGTTTCTTAAACTCATCCATTGGGATTCGGTTGTAGGTCTGATTTATTTCTACTGTTTGATTGTTTTGGCATTGTAGAATGACGATGGAACAAAGGTTGAATACAGGCTTTGGAACCCCTTCCGTTCCAAGTTGGCTGCTGCTGTGCTTGGTGGCATTGACAACATCTGGATTGTAAGTTGATTTGCTTATCTTGAATGTGCAAAAGTTCTATTTGCTTTCTTGTAAGTAGAATCTGTGGCGATGTTATAGCTGACAATTTGTTAATACGTTTAGGCTCCTGGTACTCGGGTGCTGTATCTTGGTGCTGCTTCTGGCACAACTGTTTCTCATGTGTCTGATATTGTAGGACCGGTGAGCTCTCTATCACAAAAGTCTCTTACTGATTCTTGGCTTTGTTTAGTCTGTTGTCTTAAGAATTTGGATGCTGTTGCAGGATGGACTGGTCTATGCTGTTGAGTTCTCTCACAGGAGTGGAAGAGACCTTGTCAACATGGCAAAGAAGAGGACCAATGTGATCCCCATTATTGAGGATGCCAGGCACCCGGCAAGGTACCGGATGCTGGTTGGCATGGTTGATGTTATCTTCTCTGATGTTGCACAGCCAGACCAGGTATTCCTATCATTTCCTTGCGGCCAGGTGTCTGAATCACTGGACTGTCACATTGTTGAATTGAGTGTTGTTTACTTCCCTGCCTTTATGTTCTCTTGATTCTGATTTGGCAATATTGGGCTTAGCAAATGATGAGCATACTCGGATTCCCCTTCAGGACATCAATTGGATGATGCAGATTCGAGTTTCTGATGCCTGTTGTGCTCAATGCCAAACTTTTATCTTTATTACTTTTTTTTGCTATTTCCATTTTCTTTTTGCATTTCCATTTCTTCTGTTTGCTTTCTTGATTATGTCACATTTGACGATCCAGCCTTTTTTTATGGTTCAGAATTCATGCTATAGCACATTACTTTTTATTGATTTTTGATACATGTTTCTTGATAATCTTATTTGCTATGTTTGTCAACTTGGATTCATTATTTGGAGCCGGTAATGCCCTTCTATGTTAGAATCTTGAATCGTCTTTGTTTTTCACACATTTATTATTGATCATAAGTTTCATTTTCTGTTTGTTGTCGTCTGGTGCCAACTTTGTTGATTTTCTCAATTTATACGATTCCAACTGTGTATCTGATATTTAGGAATCACCTGCCTTTGCCCCGTTTGGACCATTGTAGTTTAGAACAGTTTGTTGCTTGATGGGTTTATAATACTAAGTTTCAGTTTTGTTTTTGACATAGAACAGTAACATTGGCAGCACTACCTTGATTTGGTCATGCAACTGTGCATTGTCTGGTGCTGTTCAATATGCAGTTTGAACGAATCTGGGGATCCATGGTTATATATACATACGATTTCTCTTAGCTTCGTATTCATACACATACACTAGAAATTTCGCAATGTGAGGCAACCCTTTCCGTTGGGGGAAGGGAAATTGTAACACGTGGTTTACAGCTTTTAAACGTTGCGTGATTGTGTTATCCTGCAGGCTAGGATCTTAGCCCTTAATGCTTCATACTTTTTGAAGAATGGTGGCCACTTTGTCATTTCAATTAAGGTACTTTGCAGCTACCCAACCAGGAGTTGGTTTTTTCTCATGTTAATTCTGTATCATCGGTTTTAGATAGATAATCATGGTCTGCATTGATCTAAACAAGAACAAAATATTTTGCTCAGGCGAATTGTATTGACTCCACCCTGCCCGCTGAGGCCGTGTTTGCTGCTGAAGTGGAGAAGCTCAAGGCGGATCAGTTCAAGCCTGCCGAGCAGGTGACCTTGGAGCCCTACGAGCGTGACCATGCCTGTGTTGTGGGTGGCTACAGGATGCCCAAGAAGCAGAAGGCTACCTCTTAGAGCGGAATCGGTGCTTGTCTTGCCTACCAAAGATGCTATGTTGTATTGCGGTGAAAGAAACTTTGAAGTATTAGGGTTTTGTATAGCATCTACTATCTTGACAGACCTGCAGTGATGCTGGTTTAGCCGTAACTGTATCGGCTGTGAGGACATGATGCAGTGTTGCTGGTTTAACAGCAGTTTTTTTTGTTGATGCTAAACGTTTGAGCGATCAGCTTGGATTTGTTGCCCTTTGGTTTCCTAGTTACGGACTGAGTTATCTTTCCGGTCTGGGCATAACTTGGAATCCGAGTCGCAATCCTCAGCCTGCTCGAGGATTAAGAGTTGCCACAATGGCTCTTTTTAATCAAGAAGGCACTAAAAAACAGCTTTATTTTAGGAAAAAAAATATGAACACCTGTCTGGAAAAACGGTTTTTTGCAAAGGTAGAGCAAAAGCAAAAACTGGGCCGCCAGCGGTTGTTGGTATTATTCGGCCTCCATCCGGAAAATCAATGGGCCCAACCCGGTAAGGTTGCAAGGAGATGCCGTTCCGTGCGGGTGGGGGTTGAAAGAAAACGTCTCCGCACGCAACGACAACAACGCCAGCTTGGATTTGGATTGCTTTCCCCACCTCCGTCTCCCTCTCCTCCCGACGACCTCCGCGACCGCGACTCCACCGCCTCCTGAGAGCAAGCAACCGCCCCCGTCCCCTCCCTCCTCGCTGGTACGCGCGCCTCCTCTCCGATCCCCCGCCTCCCGTCCCGTTCCTTCCCTTCTCTTCCCTAATCAACTGTGAGATCGGGTGGGGATCCCCTCCCCTCGTCGTCGGGGTTGGGGGTTTGCCATGAGAATGAGATGACCCGGCCTTATTAGATCGATTGAAGCAACTGGATGTCGCGCCCGACTTGTTGTGATTTATCTATTTATTTATATCCTTTTTGTTTCCTCCCGCTTTTTTTGTTTACATGCATACACTTCCAGGGACGTGGTGTTGCGATTTTATTTGCTTCATTCATTCACACCAGTCCAGTAGGAGTGCCAGTTTGATTTCCATCATCTCTTAATTTTTACTAGTAGTAGTAGTAGTAGCGGGCTTATTCGCCGGCTGCAACTGAGTGTGAGTCTGTACCAGTGAATTCATCTCTCCACTTTATTGTCCTAAAAAAAAAGTACTTATCCTAACCCTACTAGGCTACTACAGCCACATCTGTGCTTGATGGACAAACAAACAATCTTAAGTGGTGTGCCATATCATTCACCCTTTGCTCGTACCACGATTCAGCACTCGGTAGTACAGTACTGCCGGTTCTAGTGACAAGTCTAGAGCGTTTCTTTTCCCTTGCCTTGATTGGTACATGAAACATGAGGATGCCTGAACCAACTGCACAGGCACCGCCATTATTTTATTTGTCGGACAAGTGACTGGATTCCATCTGTCCTGTCCTGTGGTTTCCTTTCTATTGTTATCACTCTTTAATTAATTAATAACTCTGCAGTTTCCTGGGGTTGTTTAACCACTTGTGAGTCGTGACAAATCACCTGCCTAAATTGGAGTTCTAATTCTCAAGTAAAACCCTGCGTACCATATCACAGCCAAGATATTGAGCAGCCCCCCCAATCACACATTGATTTCACTGATAATTTTTCAAGAAATGATTTCACTGATGTCTGTACTGCTGAGGCTGTGCATGTTCCATTCTCTGACCTAAATTAATTTTACGCATTAATTCTAACCTTATGTAGTTTGCTTCACCGCTTTAATAATCGCAGGGAAGATGGAGCCTGGCCAGAGCGGTACTGAGCAGACCTCTCCACGCGGGAATGACTGGGAAGTCGTGCAACTGACTGCATCAGCATACGCGGCCGCGCCTGCTCCGAGGAGACCTGAACCTTCTGAGGAAGCCGAAGCTAAGAAATATGGCACGAAAGGGGATGATTTGGCCGCTGGGCTACTGATGTCTGGCCACTTCTCGGTGTCTCAGAGTGAAGTCGAGAGCCTCCTTGTAGGCGCTGACAGCAAAGAACCTCCCAAGGAGCTTGGCAGCCCAGATGCAGTTTCCAATGAGGGTGATGATGAGAAATACCAAGAGACCTGCAAGCATAAGCTGGAGGATGACGTCCCCAGCATTCCATCCTTTGACAAAGGGAAGGATGTTTCCTTGGGTGATATGGCGTTTGATGATGACAAGGCATTGAAAGGCGTGGGCTTGGTCGGGGAAGAACCGGTTGGGTTCTCGTCGCCTATTTACAGCTCAATTGAGGCTGAAAATGAGTTAAGTTGGTCAGCTACAGAGAGTAGGAATGAGAAGAAAACTGAGGAGCCTACTCTGCATAACTTGAACCCCATAACCGGTTCATCAAAGGTTGTTCCATCTGATGAGCAGAGTGAACCTGCTGGTTCAGGCCCACGTGAAGCATGGTGGAAGAAGCAGCTTTTGTCCCTGTACAAGAATGCAAAGGAAAGTAATAATTTCTGGCCTATTGTCGCGACCGCTGCTGCTTTGGTGGGCCTGGCATATTTGGGGCGGCGCTGGCATAAGGGCAAGCTGCAGTTTCAGTCGGTCAAAATACCACCTTCTAGCAACAAGGAGGTAATTGCAAAGCTCACCTTTTCTTTCTAGCAACAAGCAATAGGAAGTGAGTGAATCATGTCATAGGAGCACCCTAGTCCTAGTGAAACTGATCGGAAAATACATTACAAAGGAAAATTGCCACCATAGCATTATGTTGATCCTTGTCTGATTATGTCTATCATAGTTACTGACCTTATAACCAAGTACTCGCAATGTACTTGATATGAGCATATAATTAGGAAGCGAGTGAATCATGTCATAGGAGCACCCTAGTCCTAGTGAAACTGTCCGGAAAATACATTACAAAGGAAAATTGCCACCATAGCATTATGTTGATCCTTGTCTGATTATGTCTAACATAGTTACTGACCTTATAAACAAGTACTCGCAACGTACTTGATATGAGCATATAATTAATTAATTATCAACCTAAATTCCGATATCTGTTTCCAAAATAGGCCCAGTTACTATGAGTCTAGATGTTAAATTTCTGGCAAGGACTAAGTAGCTGTGGAGTATGTCCAGTTGAATTCGATGTCCATGGGTTATATAACCATTCTAATAGTTTGCTGTGGTGTGAGGGTTGAACTTCTGTTGGTACTGTTGTTCTGCCATCGTACAACTGCGTCAAACCAGCTTGTTTTTTTTCTCCATTTTCTGATATTGGTTCTTGTTGTTGTGTCATATATTCATAAATATCCTGGCGAGCATGCTTTTTAAGTTGCACTTGCCAGCAATGAGAATTTCACTACAAATGGGCATCTTGCATGCAGCATGCTACAGCTCCAGAATTTTGAAATGTGTGGATTGTCTGAAGTCCTGCCTTATCTGTTTACTAGCAAGCTCGTGTATCTGTTTACTAGCATGCTAGTGTTTTGTGCTGTGGTAGCTATTTGTTTTACTTTTTTTCAATTATATATGGCGCCTGCAGATGCTAATGAATGCAGACTTGTTTGCGTTTCAGAAAATCAATGATGCGGTTGGACCATTAAACCGTATAAAGGATATTCTTGTTGCTGGCAACCATCCAAGTCATGGTATCCATGGACATGCCCGTGCAAGCTGAATGTAATCAGTCTGTGATCCCATCAGCATCCTGAATCCATACTATTATGTATCGCTTGAGAATCGGCTCAAAATGAAGACAATCCATAGGGCAGAACTGATCCATAGGGCAAAACTGGAGCAATGGTCCAAGGATTGAGGATGTTTATGCAAACACAAGTATGTTTGGTGGCTAAGTAAATTCCAAAACTCCTTTTGGGTATGTAAATATATGAGTTTAGTGTGATTGCTTTTCTTTTGGTCATTTCATGGAACCTCCGCTGGTTTCCTTGTCTAGTGCGATCAACTACTGTACCCACCGTATAACTGTCTTATTTGGGGTTCGCTCATGCATGCATATATGATATGATGGGGGCATGGTATGAGTGAATTTTATTTCACCGTTATGTTGGCTGCTACTGTGAAGGTAGCCGATTGTAGTCCGTTGTATATTTTCTGCTGCAGAGTTGACATGACAATCTTTTATTGTGGCTTGTGAGGCGGTGATAGATGGGGTAGCATAGCATTTAACATATAACTGTTCTCACTAATTTAATATTATATTATATTATGTTTCTGTTCGTTTGTCTTATAATCCGTCTTTTTCAAGCTTTTTTTTCAATCTGAAAACAGTGTTTTTCTCTCACAATAAATCAGTTAGAATAGTATTTTAGCATGTTTTTTCAGCGAAGCGAACAGGGCCTATATATATGGGAATGATAGCAGGGGTACTTTTGTGGGCGTTGTTGGCTTGTGGTGGCCCTTGGCTCGAACAAAAGGTCATCTCGGCCTGCGTCAGCTCATATCTAGATAGCGTGTCAATGAGTTGAGCAGAGATGATGATCAGGTGTACACATCATATCATATATCAGCCTGTTCGTTTCGGCTGGATTGGCTTATAAACCATTGCTGAAAGTATTATTGGCTGGTTTAATGTGAGAGAAAAATACTGTTCAAGCTATGGATTATAAGTCAGATACGAGCAATCTAGCTGAAACGAACAGGCTGTATATAGTATATGCCTATGGATATATGATACAGCCAAACCCTACAGGACTGTATTTTTTAATGGGTCAGAAGGGGAGGCCTCCTACTTATTTTTTTAATTAATATATGTTATGTACAAATTTAGAACATCTTCGACATTCTTTGTAAAGCTCATTTTCTAAATCATCATTTGGATTTTGAAGACCTATTTGCATAAAGATTGTTTTTCTATATTTCTTCACTCCCCAACAGTTTTTCTATATCTTGTGTGCACTCTAAAGAGTCATGACATCCGGAATAGAAGATAACTATACCTGAATAACCAAATAAAAAAGATGTTGAAGAATACCTTTTATCAAAATCTACATTTCTAAGTAATTAGAAAGGATACAGAGAGTTTCTTGATGTTGCTCCTACATTATAGGAAAAAATACAAGGCTCTTAAGCCCAAAAAAGAAAAGGATCTCCATCCCCTACAGGGTTGTATTAACAGACAGGACTAAACATCTCCATCCCAATACAACCAACAGTACGCGTGTTGTTTTTCTTTGTGCTTATTAATCTGCTAGTGGCACGGTGGTTATGATCCTCCAATTAGCAGAGGGTAGCTACTCATCATGACAAATAAAACAGATTAGAGAAAAAAAGGCAGGCAAGGCCCTGCTGCTTCATTGGACTAGTTAGTACGAGTAGAGCTCATATCCCCTGTATCACAGCCTGTTCATTTGTTCAGAGTAATAGTTTTTTTAAAGACCAACCAACCTAAACCAAGATCAGGTGTCAACCTGCAAGCCCTCAGAGTAGTTTGATTAGCTGCCAAGGTTATGCATGTGGGCACGTGGGTGGTTGTGGTGGACTGGTGGTGTTGGTGCGGGGTCATCTCGTTCACAGGCTGACAGGCAGGTTCAGCTCATTCTCTTTTCTCAGCATCAGCGCCGGGCGATGCTGACGGCTACAAAGTACAAACAACCAAACCAACTACGTACAGAGCCAAACGGAACGCTGCTATGCTCAAGGGTCAGGCCAGGTCTGCACGAATTCAACTGATTTTTCTTTCCAGGGGGAGACAAGGTATCAAACTTGCAGTATTTGTCCTACACAAACGAGTACTAACGGAGGAAGAGTAAAAGTAGGAGAAAATTCCTTATTTGTCCTTAGAAGTTAAAAGTGGTCCATTTGCCACTGAAAAATGCTTTCCCTTCCTTATAAGGGAGAGAGGAGCCTCGGATTTGGTTGAACCGAGTGTGAGAATTATATTGAATAGGTAAGGACACTTTGAGTATTATGAAAAAAAATTGGCATGTGTGCTTGACGGTCTCAAACTGAACATGCATTGATGATAGTTAGGGATGAAAGTTTCAAGTCAGTAGCAAATAAGGAAAAAAAATTCAAATGGCAAATAAGAAAGTTTCTCCAAATGTACCTCTTATTTAAGGGCTAACCTATATTAACAAAAAAGGGACAATTATCACTACATTATTGAACACGTAAAAGACAAAACATGGAAATAAAACCATTTTTGAGTAACATAGCCGATCGATGACATATATCCTTACAACTAGAATAGAACTATTTGAGTAGCATAACCTATCGATGACATATACCCCTTACAGCTAGAATACAACTATCTATGACCATAGAAAATGGTCTAAACTAGCACACGCATCTAGGCATCTAACATGCTCATGTGCCACACTGTAGGTGTGTTGGATTGACTGTATATATGGTCATTTAGCCTAGGCCATGGAATATGATATGTTGTTTTGGTGCTAGGTTGAATGTATATATGGTCATTTAACCTAGCCCATGGAATATGAAATATTGCTTTGTGTTGCTTGTAGGTGGTACATGGCGTGGCTCATGTAATGTGGGGAAGGGGTCTGCAGAATGTGCTTCTCAACCAAGTTGAGTGGATACATTTTGGTTGCTCGTATAAGAACCATGATAGTAACTGCGATCTTATAACTACAGAGATAGAAACCCTACTTTTTTTTGTCATATGATTGATTAAGAAAAAAAATAGGAGGCCTACCCCAAACCCTCCCACATGAGGGGCAGCCTTGTCTTTGTCACTACCGACGGCTTCTCATCAAGCAAGGGCGAAGCCAAAATAAAATGCCACCTAGGTCAAACTCTAATAACGAACTATTTGCTATTGGACAAAAACAAGAACCAAAGAGACCTTAAGATACATACAATTATTATTATTATTATTATTATTATTATTATTGTTTGAGCTCTAAAATGAAGTCTGCTGCACACTCGGGGGCCCAAATGGTCTGCCCGGACCGGATCTGTCTATAGTTTTGTAGGCTGCCTGTTTTTTTTTTTTTTTTTTTACTTTTCCATTCCATCACCCCCAGCGTGCGCGCTGCACTCTCTCCCTCCCCCCGTTCTCTCTCCTGGCGACGGCGACGACTGGGCGTCCGTTGCTGCCGCCCTACGCGCCATGCGACCAGGTCTTCTTTGGCCCCTTCGCCGGCGACGAGCACCACCAGGTACGCCCACCCATTGGCCTTCCCTTCCTGCTGTGCGAAACCGACCACCCAAACCCTAACCTACTATTTATATTCGGATCTGATCCAACTACGAGTGTATATGCATGAATTTTGCCTACTAGCTTCGATCGCTTTGCAAAAATTGTCGGGTGGTGTCCTTCACGGGTCCTCCCCTGTGCGCGGCGACCCTACCGATCGGAATTCTGCTAACTCCGTTCCTCCATGGCTCGATTAGGTTCCTCGTCTCCGGCGCGCAGTGCAAAGCGGATCGATCTCAGCTCAGCACGGACCTTACGACTTGACACCCAAGGTATGGAATTTCGGGGGGTTGCGTCTGTAATCCATTTTCCCGGTGCCTTCCCTTTGACTAAAGCACGGGCTCGCAACCTTGCAGGCTCATTCGATCTCTTTGGTTTCGTGGACCGTGATCGGACTCCAGGGTTGGATCATGTTTCTTCAAGTGTAAGAGCTTGGATCTCGCAGGTCTGGTTCAGTCCCTGGACTGGGAAGAATCGTGCTTGCTCCTTGCCACCGCAATCATGCAGAGCGGGGGCGAGATGAGGCCTGTGCACAACAGCGTTGATACAGTGAACACTGCTGCTGTTGCCATCGTCACCGCGGAGAGCCGCACACAGCCTCCTGCAGAACCGGTTTGTGCTTAAATATCTTATCACAGCATGTTTTTTTTATTGACGTTAGAAGTTTGTGATGTCCTGCATGGCTTTTAGTTGGATGACTTGTGTGTAGCTTCCTTCAATGATTGTTTGTGTACGTGCGGGGTTTGCGGTGTAACGGTTATGCTTAATCATCTGTGGCTGCTTGTTTGTGTGGCTTTATATGCATGGCAAGAAAATTACATCTCATAGGACACGTGTCATGGAGTGTTTCTTGCATGTACTTCAGTAGGCATTTGATTGTATTATTGCAATTTGCAGTTAGTAACGGAAGAATGTTGTTGTGTAGTCAGACTTTCTAGATTTTGGTTGTCAATAAGTTTGTCGGGTATTTAGGGTGTAGATATAAAATTTAGATGCATGGATTTTCCATTCAATGAGATTGGACTTCAGTTTGTTTTTAGTTTTATACATAGAGTACAACAGTAATTAGTGGAAAGTTGTAATTTTGGGACCGTGTCAGTGTTCGAAACTACATCTTATGTCACTGGATTGAGTGGTCAGTCTTTTTTTTTCCATAAATATATTTTCCATAGGTTTTTGGTGTTACAAAGGGAAATGAATGTTTACAGAACTTGGCAAGCGAAAAGAATAGTAGAAAGCATCTGATTTGTTCTTGCATTCTCCGCTTTGCTTTGGGGGGTTGGGGATATGGCTCAGTTGGTACATCCCTGCACTTGCAACTGGGTTGCTGTGATTATGGTTGGCTGTATAATTTTTCAAGGCTTCGGACCTGAGGTTTCTTGCTAGAGCTAGAAAGCTTTTCTTATCTTTGGTGGTATAGGTGCAGCTGTAGAATGTTGATGTTGGTCTATTCATTTGTAGGTCCGCTTTTAGTATCTATGAAGGAAAAATTGTGAGCTATGCTCTTCACCTAGTTAGATTTGTTAATGTTCTTTTGTTATACTATTTTGGAAGTGCATGAGGAAGGTACATCAGGAATGAGACAAAAGTTTGGTCCCTGCATTACATTTTTCTTGGAACTTCGACACATGCTCTGTTTTTTTCATCTAGAAACTTTATAGGATGAGTAGTACATTTGACTTGTACAGATTGCCTTATTTGTACCTCTTCTGTTTCAAAGGGGACATCCAAGCGTACTCAGCTCACCTTGAGGGTCTAGTACGCCTTGTCGCCTTTGAAACCATGGTTTGTACAGTTTCAGGCACTGAGAGTATGCGTGAAAAAGGCATTGTAAATAGCTAGAGAATGCCTCGGAAAAAGAAAGGGGATAGCTGAAATGGTCAAATTGAATTATTCATTGGACTACATGGGACAAAAAGATGCTTTCGCTGCTGGCGATATGCCACCAGCTGTTTCTATCTATTTTTAAATTCCAACTTTAGGTCCTATTGTTTATATTTGTTATTATTCCACCCTCCTTCACGTGCCTGAACCTTGATTGCTTCTGCTGGGTTTCAACTCTAGCCTACCCCAACTTGTTTGGGACTTAAAGACTTTGTTGTTGTTGTTGTTGTTGTTGTTGTTGTTGTTGTATTAGTCCACCCTCCCTCTTCTAGCTTGTTTGTTTCTGAGGGCCTGTGATTTAAACTTATGATTGTTGTTCTCCAGAGATTTCAAAATGGTACCTTGCAGAACTGGCAATCATTTCGTGGATTATACATTATACACCGTTAAAGTTTATCTTTGAACTTCAGTTTTAAATGAAAGCAAATTTCCCTCCACGGTGATACCATTGTTTCAGAACATGTTTAAAAAGCCTGTGTCTTTCTCCATCCATTGCAAATATCTCTGGGGTGTTCTTTTTAGCCGTGGTGATGTCATTTTCCTTTTCTTTTAATGTTGGATGCAGCAAAATAGCACACAGGCATTTGATTGTTTAGCTGAGATAGTGTCTGATTGATATTGTGTCTGATTGGACACATTGTGCTGCAATCTGACTGATGATTACATTACACATAGGTCTTTTACTCTCTCATTCATATGCAGTGCAGAGTCATCTCATTCTGATTCTTGGTTTTATATCATCACCAAGTTATGCTTCTTTCTGTGTTAACTGCTCCTTTTTGTTTGCAGAGAAGGAAATGGGCTGATCGGTTGAGCGTGTACTTCTGCTTTGGATCCGAGAAGAATGGCCGGCACATGCGCGTCAACCATGCTGCACTTGTCCCAGAACCTGCACCTCAAAGGACAGATGCACCTGTAGCACAAATTCCAAACCACCCACCGCCTCCTGTGTTCCCCTTTGTGGCACCTCCATCCTCTCCTGCTTCTTTCCTTCAATCAGAACCCACATCAATCGTACAGTCACCAAGGGTTGGAGCTCCACCTTTTTCGCCCCCCTCACCGAATTCCCAATCCCCCGTGGGGACACCATCCATCTTTGCTATTGGGCCATATGCACATGAGACACAACTAGTCTCACCTCCAGTGTTCTCGGCCTTCACAACTGAACCATCAACTGCCCCTTTCACTCCTCCTCCAGAGTCTATTCATCTGACGACCCCTTCCTCTCCGGAGGTTCCATATGCAAAGCTTCTGACTTCGATCAACAACAGCAAGAATGGTGAAACTGGTGATCTTCAGTCGTATCCAAACTACCCAGACAGCCCAATTGGGCGCCTGATATCTCCAAGCTCAGGTTGTTCTGGCACTTCCTCCCCATTCCCTGACCCTGAGATGCTGGCTTCCTCACGCAGCACTTTACACTCATTCCCAGTTCGTGAGCCACCTAAGATATTGGATGGTGAGGGCGTTGCAACACAGAAGTTGATACCCCGCCATATGCGCAACGGTGGGTCCCTCTTGGATGGCCACATCACAGCAGCTGTACCAGTTGTTGACTTCTCTGCCCGACTTCAACCCAATGAGCATGCTATGGATCATCGGGTGTCATTTGAGCTGACCGTTGAAGATGTTGCGCGCTGCCTAGAGAAGAAGACTGCAATTCCTGGGGATTCTGGCACGGCATCTTTCCACCTTGCACCCACCAGCAACGGTGATCACCACAGAGAATCAAACGAGGCAAGGGCAGGGCTATACGTCGACGAAACATACCATGACTTGCCTGAGAAAGCAAGGCGGTCCCTGTCCCTACGCCTGGCCAAAGAATTCAACTTCAACAACGTCGATGCTGCTAACGTGGAGCCAAGCGTGGGATCTGACTGGTGGGCGAATGAGAAAGTTGCTGGGATGACATCTGAGCCAAAAAAGAACTGGTCCTTCCACCCGGTGGCGCAGCCTGGGGTCAGCTAACCTTTGCACCGACCATAATAATCTTTTTTACAGGATGAAGGAATTAACTTCTGTTACTTCTGCTTCAGTGCTCGATTCAGCAGGTATGACTGTGGGGGGATGCCAACTTGTGCTAAACATGCAGTTAGTGGTAATTCTAAATTTAGATAGTAAGTAATCGGATGTCCGTCTAATATCGTCATGGGATACTAAAAGGTTTATTCTGGGGGGTGTTTGGATGTGACAAACCGCAAACTCTTTTGGTTTAGGGTCGGTCGGAACTGTCTGTGTCTCTTGTATCCTGTGTATGTACTGACTTGTTGTCCTGCTACCGTTGCTGTGTTGTGTATGTACATAATAAAGTGGTTTTAAATTAAAAGGGTACAACTCTTTCCTTTGATCAGTAGCCAGATGTCTGTGATCGTTACCCTCCGCCCCCTTAATCTGCGTGCTGCGCCGTTGGTAGCAAATCGTTACCCTCCGCCCCCTTAATCTGCGTGCTGCGCCGTTGGTATTTTAATCAAATTTGTTGCAACTAGATATACTTCGTTCTAAATTATAAAAATCGTTTTGTCATTTCAAAAGAAAGCCTCTTGACTTTGGAATGGATCTACTATTCATACTGGTTATGTATTATCGTTATATATGTTATTAAATCAATGCATTTAGGCAAACAAAGGCCCTTGTGATAATTTGATGTTGGAAATCGTACAGTGTCTGTTCATTCTATATTATTGTTATTATGTTGTTATTATTCATCTGTTGGCTCTGGGCCCTGCCCTTGTGATAAGATGATGTTGGAAATCGTACAGTGTCTGTTCATTCCATTACGGTTTGCGAATCAGAAAAATGGTGGGGATTTTACATCCGTACCAGAGGTGACAGGATTCCACGGTGGACAGAGCTGAAGGTTGTTCTCAACTCAAGATGACAGGGAGATGGTCTGGCCGGCCCCACCAGAGATGACGGGGGAGTTTGAGTACGTATTTGGCCAAGCCTGACGGGCAATAATGCTTTTGCTGCAAAATATCATGGCCGGGTTGGCCATCAGTTTTGATTACCGTCGACGAGATGACTGGCACCAATCTTGTCTTGTTCAAATTTATTCCGAAACCCTAATGATGAGCTACCAGCTTACAGGAATATATAATTCCTCAAGTTCCAGCTAAACTGGCGATCGCGAGGTGACATTTTTTTTTCACAGCACCTAGAGTTGAGGCGCCTGATGTAAGTAATATGATAAGCGAAGAATACTGAAGAAATCACGAAATGGTCAATCAAAATAAAAATAAGCTGGGCGTAATTAGGGGGGATTTGGAGTGGATGATGAGCTAGACAAGTTGGAGCGTAGACGGATAATGCTGGTCCGTCACCAACCCCGTCCCCTCCCATCTCCTCATCAATAATTTAAGCTACCGGTCTCTTCTTCCGATCAGCCGCCGTCGCCTCACCGCCGGTGAGCCTTAGGGCGCCATGCGTGCATCACACCTCCGTCTCCGTCTCCGGGCCCGGCGACCGGCCGGCGGCCTGGTTAGTTGTTTCTTCCTTGTCGTGGATCAATCATGGCGTGCCGTGCTGATGGATATCAATTAGCAGCTGGATTGGTCATTCAACTAAGCATGATGCGTGCAAACAAACTGACGAGTGTCTCACCGGGCAGCAGCGATCAACTTCCTATCCCATGTCACACATCGACCGGGAGTATAATAATAATAATAGTGTAATTTACAATTCTAAGTTTATAACACTACTGTCCAATCCATGCTAAAGCATCTGAACCGCCTCGCATGTGGCTATAAAAACTCGATCCGCGATGCCTATACAGCCCCGAGTATTCCGGCTTAAGAAAAAGATCTTCTCATATCGAGAAAACCTTCGAACCCCTGCTCCACCCATACACAGCGGCGCCGTAGTTCCGTGAGATGAGCCGGCCACAGACCTGTGCTTTGGATGTGGGACAGACGAGGGAGTCCCCCTGGTCACTGCAGCCGAAGCCACAAATAAAGAGTGAGTCCCCCTTGGGACTCGAACTCTGACCACCTCAAGGAAAAGGCACTGAGCCTGCACTTACCAGCATGTGGTGTATATATATACCTATATCTACCTCGCATGTGTATGTAACTATATACAAGTTGTGTCTTCTCTCCTTGTAGTCTGCCTTCTTCTTCTTCTTCTTCTTTGGGGTGGGGGTGGGTGGGGAGAGTAGTCTATGCCTTCTTAATCCGCCAATTAGTGCTACGAGCACGACATCTAGTGTGTATGGTGTACGATCATCTCTACCAGATCAAATTATACATTTTAGATACTGTATATACATTAACTATAGCTGAATTTAACCATATCTTTTATGTAGTATAATTTACGTATCACATTCTAAAATATACTCCACGTGAAGCTCAATTTTGTCCCTCAATTATCAAAGTGCCTGCTTTAGTCCTCTAAAAGTTTCTTTTCATTTCAATCTCGTCCTTTGTCCTTTTTTTTTTTCAAAAAGCCACGGGCAAGAGTAATGTCCTTAGGAGGTAAAGACCTCACGACAACACCTCCAATGAGTAGCATGGCGCCAGAGACGTCACCATTGCTGGTTGCGACAGAGAGCCGGGCAAGGCATTCACCCAAGCACATCAGTAAGGAGTTTTATTGGGTGAAACTACAAACATGAATAGACTCTTTTGCCCTCTCGTATCTTGTTAGGCTAGCCCGATGTCCAGCATCAAATTTGTATCCCATTTCATCCTCTCCTATGGCTGGTACAGTGGCGGATCTAGAAAAATAAGTCTGAAGGCTTATCTTATAATATTTCATCCTTAGTCTCTCCTTCCAAGCTTGAATAGGTATAAATTTGTAGGAGGGGCTCCATGGTCCGAGCATCGGTAGCAGGGGCTCAAGCCCACCCCCGCCCCGGTGCTGGATCCGCCTCTGGGCTGGTACACATGAGGCCTAGGGTTTGTTGCAGAGAAGATAGCCTCAAGGAGGCACGAAGTCTAGGTAGTCACGAGTACTAGGTGGAGGTGCATTGCTCTTGGTTGCTCTAGCTCTCAGCGTTACAACGAGTGAAGGCATGGTGCTAGGTTGAAGGTAAGTTCAAGTTTCACTTGGATTGGATTTGTTGTTAGTTCAAGGGAGCGTCTGAATGGACATCGTGAACCCTTTGGTGGTTTGCTGATGAGGTACGATGTCGTGGTAGGTCACATAGAACGAGGGACGGGATTGGTCCCAAAAGAAAATTTTTGAGGACTAGAACAGTCACTTTAATAATAGTCGAGGGATGGAAAAGTGTGCTTGAGGGAAAGTCTACAAACCAAGAGATAAGTTGTATATAAAACCTCTACAAAATCAGCACACTAATCTGTCTATGCCTGTTTCTGTCAGGAGAAGCATCTGTCTGACTATATGAGCAATTGAGCATCGCATGTGGATTATTGTTGCTTGTCAATAATGGCATGTGAAACGTAGTAGGCATAGGAAAATGACATGCTTCGCCGCATGTGGCACTGAACCTCCTCCGACAAGTCTAGTCTCCAGGTAATTAAGAGCGTAGTTTACCTTGCTCTTCACCACATCACCACATGAAAAATCACATACTTGGATCGATATCTAAAATCCTGTCAAAACAACACTCACTCAGTCACAGATAGGAGAGACGGACAGAGAGAATTGACAAAAATTCTCTAGTAATAAGCTAGAATATATATATATTCCAGCTGTGACTAGGAAGGATCCAAGGGACTAGTCCTAGCCTCGTAGATGATGGTCCAAAGACTTCAAATGGATGGAGGCCTGTCTGTCGACCTCCGCTGCAACAGTGCTTCACTCTTGTTGCAAACTGCAATCATGTCCATTTCCCCGTTTCTATTTACCGAATAATAAAAAAATCCTATGCATTCCCTCATCATTGGAGAGAGAGAGGAACCAAAGAAAAGAAAATATCCAAGCGAGAGGGCCATGTGGAGATTGCCAAGTGTGCGCTGCCTCCTTGGAACATCCCAGGCCACGTGTTGTTCCATTTCCTTAGACAAATAATCCCAATCCCATCCTACCTGGATGTTCATGTTCCTGCCTGCCTGCCTGTCGACTCGTGACGTCTGTCCAAGCACGAACACTCCCACCTAAGCTTCTTCCCAATCTGCTCGCTCCTACCAATTCTTCTTCTTCTTCCTTCCCTCCTCTGTTGTTCCATTCCATTCATTCTTGTAGTTGTAGCTAGCAGCTCTTGGATGGAGACAGACAAGATAATCGAGGTATGTACGCTACTTTATGCATGTAGATTATGCGGCTACTAGCTAGCTAGTTGACCAGCAAGCGAGCTCCAGCTTCCTTGTTGAATTCCTCTCTTGGTTCTTGCTGCCTTCCGAATCCGATCGCTACTTGATGTGAGAGCCAGCCAGCCAGCTGTGCCGCAAGCTGCCGATCGATCGCAGGTTCATCAGTTGTCAGATCTTAATTTCCCCCTCCCGGCTCCTGGCTAGATTTCAATTCTTTGGTGGTTGGTGGCTTGGTGCAGAGTCCGATCCGAACTATAGCTAGCCAGCTCAGCTAGATCCCCTTTCGATTGATTTCAATTCGCAGCACATATAGCAGTGAATAATCTGCAAGCCGCCGCCAAGGCAATCCAATTCCATCCCAAGCAGAGCAGCGATGGCCATGGAGCCCGTGCTGAAGGTGGCGCTAGGCTCGGTGGCGTTCGCCGTCTTCTGGGTCCTGGCGGTGTTCCCGGCGGTTCCGTTCCTGCCCATCGGCCGCACGGCGGGCTCCCTTCTGGGCGCCATGCTGATGGTGCTGCTGGGCGTGATGAGCGCCGACGAGGCGTACGCCGCGGTGGACCTGCCCATCCTGGGCCTGCTGTTCGGCACCATGGTGGTGAGCGTGTACCTGGAGCGCGCCGACATGTTCCGTCACCTGGGCCGCCTGCTCTCGTGGCGGAGCCAGGGCGGGCGCGACCTGCTGTTGCGCACCTGCGCCGTGTCGGCGCTGTCCTCGGCGCTCTTCACCAACGACACCTGCTGCGTGGTGCTCACGGA